CATCACCAACATCACCAACATCATCACCAACATCAACACCAACATCATCAACAACAAAAACATCAACAAAAACATCAACAACAAAAACATCAACAACATCATCATCAACAGCAAAAACATCATCAACATCATATACAACATCATCATCAACATCACCAACATCATCAACAACAAAAACATCATCATCAACATCACCATCAACAACATCACCATCACCAACAACATCAACATCATCAACATCACCAACATCATCATCATCAACAACAAAAACATCAACATCAACAAAAACATCATCATCATCAACATCATCCTCATCAAAATCAACAACAACAACATCATCATCAACATCAAACACCATCATCATAAACAACAACATCATCATCACCACCAACAACATCACCATCAACAACATCATCAACAAAAACATCATCATCATCAACAAAAACATCAACATCATCAACAACAAAAACATCAACATCAACAACAACAACAACAACATCATCATCAACATCATCAACACCATCATCATCATCATCAACACCATCAACACCACCAACATCACCAACAACATCACCAACATCACCACCAACAACATCAACAACAACATCAACATCATCAACAACAACATCAACATCATCAACAACATCAACATCATCAACAACAAAAACATCAACATCATCATCAACAGCAAAAACATCATCAACATCATCATATACAACATCATCAACATCACCAACATCATCAACAACAAAAACATCAACATCATCATCAACATCACCAACAACATCACCATCAACATCACCAACATCAACAACAAAAACATCAACATCACCATCAACAACATCATCAACATCATCATCATCAACATCAGCACATGTATGGATTATTAATACTGTCAGTATGATTCATGTTATAATCCTCATTTTAAGGCTGCAAACTCATTTTATTGTCCTCATCAGAGAATCTTGTCTCCAGTCTTCATGCTAAGCTACGCTAGCTATTCCCCCCACCACTGGATTCTGTATGAATGATTAAAACTGTGAGTATGATTAATGTTCTAACCTTCATGTAAACTCACGTTATCATCCTCAGAGACTTTCTCTTTGATTCTCATTGTCTATAAATTCAGTTTCTCAGAGTTTCATGTTTCTCATCTCACTTCCTGTCTAAACAGAACAAAGCCCACCTCTCCATCTGAGGGTTTCGTCCCTGCAGGACTCGTCTCAGCAGCCGCCTCCTCGCCCCGTTGTTCTCCGGGTCCACAGGAATGACTGTAGTACAACAAAGACAGAGGTCATAGGTCAGAGGAAACACTCGGGTCGGGATTTAACTCCTCCCACAAAATCTACATTAAATAATATTCAAAGTGGTTTATTATTAACCGACCTGAAATCAATGCCGTTATTCAGTGAGTGTGATTATGTGTGTACTAGTGTCTCAGTAATTATCTGGGGTGTTTTCATTAATGCTAACTTATGCTTCCTTGCACCCTCTCTCCTCACTCTACCTAGGACACGAGGAGCCAGGAGGCTTCTTAGAGGAGCTGAGAGCGAGGAAACACCGGAGTGTCCTTTGTTAAAGTCTTTGTAACACTCGAGTTGTAATAATCTCAAACCATGAGAGGATATGTTGTATTTCTTTAAGATCAAACTTCCTGTCCTCATGAAACTGATCGAATCACATTTATTAATGACATTCAGCTGATATCACTCATGTTTTTATACTGAATGTAAATACTAGGGGTGGGGGGGATCAATACAGCATAGTATCACGATATTAGATGAAGTACATTATAACGTTATCATGATGTGTTCACATGTCGTCTGTAAAATGTAGTTTTGGTGATAAACTTGAATGAATCCAGTAGTTTGAAGGAGATGTTTTCACATGAATATAAAACAGATATTAGAGATGAATTATGAGTTGTTGAACTTCCTAACACGAGCTCTAAACACATTATTATACTTCATTAATAATAATAATGAAGAGATTTATGTATCAATAAATATACAATCTTTTATTTCTTAATCATTTGAATTGTGTGTTATTATGAAAATTACCGCTACAGATGTGACTTTAACATAAATGGTAAAGTGGTTGATGATGATAATAAATATTTTAGTTAATTGGCTTTAGGTCTAATAGAAATGAACTGAAGTGAGATGAACCGAGTGAAAACTTTATCTTAAAAGATGAAACAAATCATTTGCAGTTGAAAATAGGTAGGACTTAAGTATCACCATAATATCGTATCGTGACTTAAGTATCACCATAATAACTTATCGTGACATATAAGTATCGCCATAATAACGTATCGTGGCATAAGTATCGTGATAATAACGTATCGTGACTTAAGTATCACCATATCGTATCGTGATAATATCATATCGTGACTTAAGTATCACCATAATATTGTATCGTGATAATATCATATCGTGACTTAAGTATCACCATAATATCGTATCGTGATAATATCATATCGTGACTTAAGTATCACCATAATATCGTATCGTGATAATATCATATTGTGACTTAAGTATCACCATAATATCGTATCGTGATWATTATGGTGACTTAAGTATCACCAGAATAATGTATCGTGACTTAAGTATCGTGATAATATCATATCGTGACTTAAGTATCGTGAAAATAACGTATTGTTACTTCAAATGTTATAATCCTGTAAACATTCTCTTGCATTCACCACCAATATTTGATGTATTACTGACAGTAGTACTACTAAGTTATTGAACATTGTTGAATGACTTCTGATGTCTGGAAAGACTGGAATCAACTAGCTTAGCTTAGCATAATATTAGTGCAGCCTCTGACCTTTGATGTAGTTGTAGTTGATGGTCTTGCCCTGGGGGGGTTTGGGCAGAGACAGGGGGGTTTCCTCCGTGGGTAGATCCAGCAGAGAGTACTCCACAAACAGACGCACCACACTAACGTCCCGGGACACCCGAGACTCCGGCCTCAAGCTCAGAGACACAACCTCCACCCGGAGCCTCTGCGAGGGCTGTGGAGGAGGTTAGTTTGGATAATAAGTCTCATGATAATAGTTTACACTCACAGTAGTATAGAATGTATCTCTTCTGTTACTGTGTCCGTGTTGGGACAGTTCACATCTGTTTGACCTGCACAGGCTCTTAATACTAAAGTAATAATTCATATTTCTAAATATCAGTATGCAATAACATAACCGGCTTCTTTTGAAGTCAGTTATGTTAGATTCACATCATCAGCCTTTCTTTAGGTGAGCTGAGAGCAGACTTTATTTAATATATTACTCATCATTTAAGGTGTATTTATAAAAACTACAGAATGACTTTAAGGAAACGGTTTAATAGTAATAAATCCCTCTGCTGTGAAACATCAGACTGACGTGGATTTACAGAATGTTCAGATTGTCGTGTTTCACTTTGATTTCTTTGTTTGTCAGCAGGAACACAGAAGAAACTACCGGCCTGATGAAGTATGTTGCATGAACCAAAGAGGAGCAGATCGTCCGACTGTGAGAACTTTTATTATATATTATCTCTTCAGCTTCTGTTCCACTGTTCACCTCATATGAACAACAACTCTCTGAGCCCATCATTAGAGCTGCAAACATTACTGGATTCATGGATTTTAGGTCTGTGTCCACATGGAGCTCAGGAAAGAGAAGTGCAGCTGCTTCTTCTCTAGACGACCACATACCAACTCTGATGCTCCTCATGTTAACGTTACAGTAAACCTAATCTTTTATCTCTTTCTCTAACGATATAAATTGATGGATAATGTGAATAACTGCTGTTTACCAACAGCAGACCGACTTCAGCTCAATGGTGTTCACAAAATCGAAGTGAAGCTAAACAAAAGCTGCTCGTTACGGGCACAACGCTCCTCTCAGAGGCTTTCACTGACCTTCCTCCCCGCCGGCCGTCCGTGAACTATGCAGTCATCGCTGTCGGACGGAGAGGAGACGCTCTGACCTCCTCCGGCTGCCGAGGCCTCGTCCACCTCTGGATTCAGCAGGGAGGTGAACACACACATGGTTAGAGCAGAAGAAGAAGACAACACTCTGAATTGTGCGTTTGACACGAGGATGCTCTCACAGGGATGTCGTTAACATTTATGAAGGCTGCTCTAAAGATTATTGACACACTCAGTGTTTATGTCTCTGCTCAGCAAACACAAACATCTGCACCTCTGAGTGAGTTTGGGGAGAATCTGGTTTCCACAGTGTGAATCCAAATAACACCAAAGTACTACAGAGGGTTTGTATAGCAAGCAGAGAACCTCCACACAACAACATTCAGTGTTTATCAGTGTTATTCCAGCTTTATTAACCCCTAGCAGCCACAGATCTTCATCACAGTCTTCATCATGTCACTTGACCCCTTAATTCAACACTTCCTCACCTTCCACGATGTCCTCAGAGATCTCAGAGTCGTCAGAATGAGACTGAGAGTCGGCCGGGACCAGCTGGCCTTCAGAGAAGTGAGACTCTTCTTCTTCTGCATCCTCTTCCTCTGCAGCTCTGTGAGGAGGAGGAGGAGGAGCTGACGAAGGCTGCACACACAGAACACACTGGTTTATTACACATCAGTTATTCTCCTGCAGAGAGGAGGAAGAGTCTGAATCACACTAGAAGTTATATTATAAGTTATAAGTTATACATTATATATACAGTATATCTTAGGGAGCGGGTCGTGTTTCATGGAGTCGGCCATCTTGACCCGCCATGTTTCTACGGCAGCCCAGAGCAGACAAACACCAGCAAACACTGGCTCTAGAGAGACTTTCAGGTTTTTACATAATCTAAAAGGAAGTGATGGGTTCCACACTCGGTATTACACTCTACCTACATTTATACACTTTCACTGCAGGCAGGACTTTCACCTGCAATGGAGCATTATTACAGTGTGCTATTAGTACCTTTACTGCAGTAAATGACCGGAATACTTCCCCCACCACAGCGGGCTGTTGTGTCATACTGTATATGATTCATTCTAGTGATATTTATACAGAGACTCTGTACCTTTATAACAGGAGGTAAAGTCTTTCTCCTGTCTGCAGACACATCGTCCTCCACCTGAAAAGAGGAAACAGCTGAGATCGGCTTTATAACACATGACCACTTGTACCGATCTTTGTTAGCTTTTACTATCAGTGAAACAAGTTAAAGTCTCTATAACGGAGAGTAGAGCTTTCATATAGAGTCGATGTAGAATAGAATGAAACCAGAGTGTCGTCTCTTGTCCCTTAGAGGCAAAACACAGGTTTAGTAAGGCGGTGAGAGACGCTAAGCGTATGTACTCTGAGAAACTGCAGCACCAGCTCTCAGCAAGTGACTCTGCTTCTGTCTGGAGAGTCTCAGACAGATCACCAGCTACAAGCCTAAAGCCCCCCTCCATGAACGAGCTCAACGAGTTCTACTGTCGATTTGATAGACAATGGGACAGTCCTGACCCCACCCCCCACAGCTCCATCAACCAGCCCCAGACCACCAGCCCCCCCTCCCCCAGCTCAGCAGGGGAGGGGGGGGGCTCTGTACCACATCAGCTCCATCACTAAGAAGGCTCAGCAGAGGATGTACTTCCTGAGGCAGCTGAAGAAGTTCAACCTGCCAAAGACAAGACCAAGACCTCACGCCACACGAACAGTTGGTGTGTGTGTGTTGTTAATGTCTTCTCTGAACAATAATAAAGACTTGTGTGTGT